ATGACGTCACACGTTGTGCTGAATCAGCAATTTATATTTTGCACATTTTTGCGTATAACTTCGGAACCAGATGAGACAGAATAGAGCAGTAAACGGCCAATCGGCTTATTTTTTCATGCTCTTTCAGATAAAGCAATAAAAAATTTTTATTGCCATTACCCTTTAACATTCTTCTGAGTTCTAGTAGAAGCCATCTTTATTGGTCCTGTATTATTGCAGCAGAATGCTGAGTACCTGGAGAAGAATACCTACAGTATCAAACTGGAAGCACTCTTTTCACATGCAACTGAGGTGGAATTCAAGGCCGAATTTTGGTGGAAATGGTGGGGGAGGTGGAAAAAATTTTAGGGGAGGTGCTGTGGTCTAGCTTACGCCCCCCCCCTCCGAAATATTTAGGGCTTAGAACTTACCCCCTAAAATATATATATATATGTATGTATGTATGTATCAGACTGAGTGTACTTATGTACGACTCGTCCAATTTCGCCTTTCATTACCTTACAGCACAAAGCTTCTTTCAAACATTGCATTAAAATGGTCACATTTGTCAAAGTGTCATTTTGATCGATCATTTGACCTTTCCAAAGGGGAGGTGCATGAATTTTCAGGGGAGGTGCAAAAAATTTCAGGGGAGGTGCAAAACGATCTCGGGGGAGGTGCGAACCTCCCCACACCTCCCCCCAAAATCCGGCCATGGTGGAATTATAATCAACCTACTGCATACTGTAGGAATCAAATCCCAGACGCAGAGATGAAACACACTGACCATGGTCCCACTTTTCGTGTTCTAATTAGGAACAGAAAGTTCAACCCAGAACGGAAGGTGAAGTTTCAACCACGACTTCTGTCTCAAATCCATCAGAACAAGCTTCGTTCATGTCCTGGGTTCCAGGTTTAAAACGAGAAACAAGAAGTAGCGTTCCAGGAACAAGTCGGGTCGATGGTCCCTCTGCTTCTTCTGAGGTACTGGGCACTTTTCAATAGTTTCATTTATTGGTAGTTGAGAGTTTTGAAATAGTAAGTACTACTATTGGATCTCTCTATACAGACAGTGAGGAAACACAGTAAAGGCCAATTTACACTACACCACCTTTGCTTAAAACTGTCGCATGCAACCTGCTTACAACTTGAATTATACTGTGTAAATCAAACACACAACTCGCCTACGACAACATAGGGGAGATGTATGTGCTTGATTTACACAGTACAATTCAAATGGTAAGCAGGTTACATGCGAAGTTTTAGTTAAAAGTGTGTAGTGTAAATCGACCTTACAGTGTCCGTGCTTGAGGTAATATGTGGGAGTCCATAAGGAAAGCTTTGACTCTAGTTTGATTGTTGTGATTTGGCAACTTTTTTTAGAATATGATCAACAGTTCATATAAATTACCACGAGAATTATCTTCACGTGAACAATTGGACTCCGCTCTTGTCCGTAAGTATACAACCTACGCCGTCTTTATACTTTGTAAATTGTTAATATTTTGTACACAGCTATCTTGGGGTCGGTGGTAAGAAGGCTGAATAGCGCTATCCACCTTACATAGACCGTTGTAAAAAGCCTCCTCTACCAATTCTGATCAAGCTTATTTTTTATCTTTGTTTAGAGAAACTAATCAAATCCTACTTTAACATCGTCTGCAAGAATATCCAAGATAAGTAAGCATGTTTAAATTCTTAATTGGTAAGGTTTCAACCATCGCTTCGTTTTTAGCACACTTTTGTTTGAAATGAATATAATAATACTACTTATATTTACCTACAATAAATTTTGTTTGTTTAGTATTCCAAAAGCTGTCATGTGTTTTCTCGTAAACTATGTAAAAGAAAGAATTCAAAGTGAACTAGTCGAAAAACTATATAAGGTATCATGCTTGAGTACGTTAAATTAAACTAACTTTGTTTATACTGGATAGCTCTATCAGTTCTAAACTCTTTGCAGGTCCAGTATAAGGATCCTCCTCTCTTATTGATCCAGTGTCACTACAAGGAGAAACCTGAACTAAACTAACTTTATTTATACTGGATAGCTCTTTCAGTTAAGTGTTCTTTTTAGAGGTCCAGTAAGGATCATCTCTTATTGATCCAGTGTTACTAAAAGAAGAAACCTGAACTAAACTAACTTTATAGCTCTATCAGTTCGAAACTGTTCTCTTTAGAGGTCCAGTTAAGGTAACCCTTTTCGACTCCAGTATCACAACAGGAGAAAACCTAAACCAAATTATTCTTTATTCAACAATCTGTTGCCATTTACTGCAACCAAAATAATAAAATTTTGACTGTTTTCCTTTATCAAGACTGAAGAATTTAATCAGCTGCTAGAGGAATCAGACGATATTCACAGACGGAGACAAGAGGCGACAGAAATGCTTAAGGTATTTAAAGAAAATTGCCTTGTTGGAGGAAAGATAGTAAGAATTTTAAGCCAATTGTGATCGAGAAAAAAAGATATACATATTTAAGACCCAATCTATTATGGTTACATGTTTCACCTCAGCTATCCCTATTACTTCAAGCATCATATTCACCTGAGTACATAACACCAACACACAAAAATTCATGACTTCTGTTTAGTTTCTAGACTATCATATCTTGATACTAGACTCTGTTGTGATGGATTTGTTTTACTGTTCTCATTTTAGGCTCTGCAGAAAGCGGCACAAATTATTGGGGAAGTGAGGGACTCACAACTTTGGTAAAACTGATCTGGAGTAGGATATAATTTAACAAACAATGTACAATAAAGAGAAACGGGTTCGCTTAATAAGTTGTGAACTTATTTATGTACATGTTCCAATGTAAATTGTAATAGATAAAATTGAACTGACATTGGCATTGCTCATGCGAAAATTCACCAAAATATAACGAAAATATTTACTATTTAACTTTATAGAAATATTATCGTTCTTAATATGATTTTTACTTCAAATCTGTTACTACAAATGCTGTAAAAATAACGCGTTTATACGCAAATTGTCAATATGGTCAAACGAACAAACTATCTTTTCGTTTATGACTATATATTGAAATAACACTAAGTATACAGGAATCGAGAATTTGACTGATCATGTAAATTGCAGGCGCACGATGGGAGAGAGCCAGCAGTTAACGTGGTCAGTTAAGTGTGAAAATTTGATATTGGTAGGGACGTGGTGTAATTTTTCAATTTGCCCGTGTTGTTTATAGTATAAATTTCGGTATTTTCAGAACGAAAGGAACCTTGGTCAAGTTTATACCAATGTAAGTTAATCTTATTTTATTACTGTTTAAATATAGGGTAAATATTGTTAGTTTAGGTAATTTTACAGTTGAAATTTCGGTTAAAAGTGGGCTATTCCAATTTTAATCTGCACCCCTACCCCCTTCCTTTTGCTCCCCTCCCCATGGAATTTCCAAAGAAATAAATCCCCTCCTCTTGGAAATTGCTATGTGTGATTAACTCCCATCCTTTTTATAAAATTCTAATACAATTTAGCTTTCAAATGCATGTTCTGCCTATCCCCCTCCAAAGATGGAATTATTCCATCTCCATGGAAATTCCAAACAGATTTTAAACTTCCTTCCCCTTGGAATTCCAAAGCTTGTCAACAATGGTACTGATGTACACAGCTACAAACGATCAGGTTGTTGCAATATTGATGAAAACAGGATTGAACAATGTTGTGTGGCCCACATTGTTCACAGTTGTCAACAATATTGAACAATATTGTTACACCCGATTCAGGCTCAACAATATTGTTCAATATTGCTGACAAGTGTGAACAATGTGGGCCGCACAACAGCAGGCTCACAATTTTTACGCATGTAGGCTTGTACAGGGCTTGAAATAACGTTCCCAAAGTTCCCGATCACTGTGATCGGCAGTCATGACTTTCCTGCTTTTTCAGGTAGAAAACCCTGCTTTTCCGCCGTTCATAAGTCATTTCTTGCCGATCGGTGATCGGCTGTTATTTCAAGCCCTGCTTGTAACAATGTAAGACACTAATCTAACAATGTAAGACACTAGCTTTTTTATCAACAGTCTTGTAGAAGGTTGTCAACAATGGAAAGAAAGACTTTACCCACAAAGAGAAAATTGTCGGCAAATATTTGTGAAGAAAATCCAAGAAACAAAAAGAAGAAAATGAGAAGTAATGAAAAAAATAAGAGGAAAAATGAAAAGTCATTAGTATGTGAGAAATCTAATGAAGGAACCATTATTAATGATAAAATATCTGATGATAGTAAGACTTCTGCAAAAAAAGTAGCAAAAGGAAGCAAAACACAAACTAGTAAAGCACAGAAAGCTGTAACACCTACACAAGAAAAGTGTCGTAAAAAGTCAGTGAATAATGAAAGCTCTGATGAATTGCCGTTGTCTGAAATAATAAAACGAAGCAAAGCAGAGCAAAATGTTAAGGAAAAACTTCCTATAAAAAAGAAGCCGAAGAAATGTTCACCTTCAAGTCAGGTAGGAAGAACAGTTGAGGCAAAGGTTAAAATAGTGAAGAGTGCTACAAATTTAGACAGTTCTAGTAAAAATGCTGCAAAAAAAGAGAAGAATGAAGTGTCTTCATGCCCCAAAGGAAAATCTTTCAAAGCAAATAATAAAAATACTCTCACTGATGTTGACCAGACATCAAATAGAGACACTACTAAAGTGAAAGAAAAAGTGTTCAAAGCAAAAAACTCTGATCAGACATCAAATAAAGATGCTAAAACCAGCTCTTCCAACAAACAAGAATGCAAAGCACCTTCACCTGTTAAACATAAAAGAAAGGCAAAAGATTTTGAAGATGCCAAAGGAAACAGTTCGGCAAAATACAAACAACTTTCTTCAAATGAAACAAAATCTAGGAAAGAAAAGGTTAGTTTAGGTGAAGAACAAACTGTCGGACATCTTTCTGTGAAAGAAATGGCTAAGGAAGGGAAAGTTAGTGAGAGAATTGTTGAAGATTTTGATGATTCTGATGAGGACGGAGATGCATCTGAAATGGATTGGGAGGATGTTGCAGGTAACTGCTCTTTGAAAACTAAACTAACTTTATTTATACTGGATAAGTTTTGTCAGTTTGGAATTGTTCTCCCTGGAGGCCCAGTGGGTCATATTCCTTCCAGATCTGGTGTTACAGCAGGAAGAAAATGGAGAACCTGGAGAAAACATGAAGTGTGGTACATGTTTTGGTAGAATAACACTAGAGGAAGGCAGGTATAAAAGTTGTACTGGATCGCTAGTGTAGCCGGACCCAACCCTGCATGATCCAAAACCTAACCCTGACCTGAAGCAGGCTAGCAATCCGGTGCAACTTTTATACCTACCTCGGGGCAGGATATGGGGTTAGGTCTAGTCCGACTAGTGATCCGGCCCGCCTTTTATACCTGCCTCTAGAAGAACACTTATACTAGATAGTTATAGATAATATGGATAGTTGTATAATGTACATTTTTTGGTACCGTAGAAGTATCTGGCATATTTGATGACAGTGATGCAGAAAATGTAACCAGCGACATGCCATCGACAAGTAGCAATGTTGAAGTGACGCTCACTGTGCCGGGGCAGAAGAAGAGCAAATGTGGCAGACCGTATGTGAAATATTTCCATATTTAGACATTTTCAACTATGTGTACTTACTAGGTAGATTTCAGTAAGATCTATCATGTCAATCATCTGTAATTATCAGAGTTATTATTATTCATTCTTTTCATTGTTATAGTCTGACTTGTATTTGGTGACATATATAATTATAAAAAAGACAGAGATTAACCCACTGAGTAAAATAATAAAGTAGGGTGCATTAGGGCATAATCCTCATGGAACATAAAACGAGGGCAACCTCACCTTGTGTGCTTGTGGAATTCTCTACCACCCGCTCCCATGAAATCTTTCTGAAAGGCCACCTACAGTAAATCTCTTATTTCTTCATTGCCACAATATCACAGATCCCAAGAAGAAATCAGAAAATGGATCCAGCGGAAAATCAACCGAGTGAAAAAGGAAGGACAGATTACTGCTCACAAGGTGAGGTTGCAAATGATGCTGGCTACAATAGGTCTTGTAATTAGGACTGTGTCTGTTAATTAGAGGATCATGCCTATACTCACCTCTGAGTTTTTTCCACCTCATTTGAAGGTTCATTTGTTGGCACTGTTGGCCATAGGATTAAAGAAAAACGAAATGTGTAACAATCCACTTGTAAAGGTATAATAGAATTTTGATATGCTTTACAGTGACATGTCTACAAAAGACAACTCAACCTCGTTTACATGAATGGGCCAACCAGGTAGAACCTCACACTTGCCTGTGATAAATTTAATCAAGCTTTTGTTGGTAGATGCTACTCAGGTAAATGCATCCTACCAATGAAAGCTTGTTATTATTGCCACTATACCTACACTAGCACAGACAGTATGATAAATTTAGCTTGCCAATATGCATGTGTTTTGATATTTAACTTTCAAATATTTAGGCTGTTGGACTATCGCTTCTTCCAGATGTGTTTGCTCAACGTAAAGATTTGAAAACTTGGGATATCCCATATCTCACAAGAATTACCACTTGGTAAAATATAAGGATTACATTTTGTTGTTTTTAGTATACTCTGCAAAGAACAGTACAATTTTTACACCAATGCAAAAAAAATACTCCTATGCTGTCCACCACATGCATGCAAGACTACCGATTACAATACTACATGTCTACATATACAGGGGATGAAGTGTTATCACCATACAATATAGTACATGATTTTATTTTTCAAAATATTGAAGGATGAAAAACAAGGCGCCAAATCCAGGAGAAGTTCATACCGGAAACTCTGAGGTAACGGAGTAACGTTCAGAGAAAATAGACCATTCATTTTAATAAAAAATGAATTTGCTGCTGAAAATACAAATGGTATATTAAATTTGTGTTTATTTAAACAGATTTTTACAATTTTAACCTTATTAGTGAGACCAAAGACGGGTTTTCATGCCCGCACTTTTTACTGTTTTAGGCAACGTATCTGATGAGAGTTTTAGAAAAGAAAGTCTATGTAAGTTCAACTTAACGACGGACTTTATGTTAATCAATAAGACCGATTCTTCATCTGTGCTAATGAAGATCTGGGCTTATACGGATTCAAAGTTTTGCAATGATAAAATAATATACGTGATATTTTCTACAAACCAAAGCAAAAATTATATTATATCTCCATGCAAACATACTATGTATTATTTTGGACCTTTTCTTATACTCCGTATATAAAGCTGTTACTACATGCATAAACTTAGAAGATTTGGCGATAGGCAATGGATCTAAATGTAGAAAAAAGATGTACTTCTCAGCGTTTCAAGTCTCGTATTCTCGTGCGTGATAATATGCTCAGTTTCCCTGTGTTATCCTTACAGTTGCTTATCGTTATCCTTCGTGCTTTGGGTTTGTCTGTTCGTCTGGTCATGTCACTACAGGTAAAATAGTTTCTTTCTACTTATACTAGATGAGGAAGCTCAGGAAGGCCTGTTTTAATCATTGAACTTATGTGCAGCCGATTCTAATCTTAACCTACTGAAAAGCTAGGAAGACTACATTTGAATAAACGGGTTAGATTTGCTTAAAGTCGTTCTCTCTGTACTTTCCGTAAAAGCAACAAGTTGAAATTTAATTAAGCCGCTTGATAGAAAATAAGTAAAATTTCTTGTTTCAGGTTTTGAGCAACAAAATTGAGGATGTTAAGAAAGTAAGTAGTACGTGTATCTACGGTAAGCTGACACACTATATATTATTTATGAGAATTGTCCTATATATGATCTAATTATCTGTTCCCAACTTCAGAGCAAGAAACCAGAAACAAAGCGAAACAAAACACCCGGGAAAACTAAAGAAACAACACAGCTGACAAAAACACCAAAACAAACGGCAAAAAAAGAAGCGAAAAAGACTCCAAAGGAAACTTTACTAACTAAACTTAAAGGCAAATCGACTCCTGCAAAAAGTGGTACTCCGTCAACAAGTAAAAGCTCAAGGAAAAAGGCGAAAGTTGATTACACAGGGGAAACTAAAAGCGAATACTTTACCGAAAGCTTGTCAGATGATGACGAGGATTTTGAGATCCCCGCACTTAAGACACCGAAACGAGGCAGATCAGGGGGGTCCCGGCCCGTGGAGCCACGTCAACATGCGCCGGCAGGTGGCGAGACCAGCGGTATAGTAAAGAAAGGTCAGTGATGTTTTGAATGTTCATTGAGTTCATGGTATATAGACTGAGATTGGGTTTTATAGTCTTATTCGTCGCCATGTTGTTATAGGTCGTGATATCTGGATCGAAGTGTATCTTGAGAAAGAAAAGAAGTGGATATGTGAGTTGATGTGCTCTATATAGAACTGTAGTGATGAATTTAACAAATTAGTTGTTACCGCGTTTGTATGTGTGCCTGTGTGTGTGTCTGACAGGATGGTAACCTTAAAAATATCAAACTTATCAATACAAACCTTTGTGGAATGTGTCATGTGACAGGTTTTAATGGACCTATTCCCTAATGAACAAAATTTTGATCTAGACAAATCTAGACATCGCAAAGAACATCACAAAATTAGTAATATTCCGAAATTTCGTTGCGAAATGTTGTAAAATGCGTTTAATACAGCCCTGCGAAGTTTGCCGTTTTTCAGTCATTTTGTATCACGGGAAATTGATACCTTTTTTCAGAAAGCGGTATGAATTACCCGTTTGTAATACAAAATGACTGAAAATTGCAAACTTCGCAAGGCTATATTATCCACATTTTACAACATTTCGCAACGAAACTTTGGAATATTACTAATTTTGTGACGCTCTTTCAAGCTGTGATGAAATTTTTGTCTAGACTTGTCTAGATCAAAATTTTGTTCATTAGGGAATAGGTCCATTTGATCTAAACAGCAAGATTTTGTTGGTATCTCACTTGATTGAATATTACTTGAAGGGTATTGTAGATGAAAATTATCCAGTATAAATTTATATACATTTATTTGACTTTAGGCTCCTGGCAGGAAATCGAATTTGTTAATCACGTTGACTATAGCCTCGCGTTTGTTAGCTAAGCTGAATAAAACCTGCCAAACGCTCATTACAAATAAACTTCACTTTCGAATAGACAATATGTTTATCTGGGGGATTGGTCACTCTTAGGTACAAACGGCAGCACTTTGAATGCTTTACACATTATTTGGTATAGGTATAGACGGTGACATAGGCAGCGTAAACCAGCCAGACGAATGCGAGAAATTGGCGACGAAACCAATCAAATATGTCATGACCTTTGATAATGGTAAGTAACAAAGCCTTTCCACGGATTTCCTGTGCACACACACCCCTCCTCTCTTTTCCGGGGGCTTCTCCCCCTAGCTCCTCACTCTGCTGTGGACTGCGCCCCAGACCCCAGCATTGGACAGTGGCGTTTCTTAACGATTTCTACATACAGCATAAACAATATTTATATTTTCTAACATTTGTGTTATTATGAAATGTTGATTTATCAGAATGTTCAATCAAAGACGTGACACGGCGCTATGCCAGTGGTTGGCTGACTACGACGCCCAAGCTGAGAGTCGATCCTGATTGGGTGACCAAAACAATGAACTTTTATCGAACTAAAAATCTTGTAAGAATTTTTTACGTGTATATCGTACTAATTATTTAGAAATCACGGACCGAGTTGCACATGTAATCATACTTTGCTCATTATTTCCATTTATCACGAAACAGAAACGTGACAAGAAAGAAGACTCGCTTCTCAAAGGTAGTCAAGTAACGGCGTGGTTTTAACTTGGAAAATTTTATTGTTTTTTTCAAAAAACACAATTCATAAATACACTTGATTGACAGGTAATTATTTTTTCCCAGCTCGACTTCTTCGAAAACCGCTGCCTCAAACTGTATCGGAATACAAGAATCATCCTTTGTAAGTTAGAAAACTATTTGTCTCTAAGTAGAATCAGAAAGTTGTATAATTGGTATATCTCAGATTTTGTTTGTTGGTTTCCAGGTATGTACTAAAGAGACATTTACTGAAATTTCAAGGTGAATTTGACAAATCATTATTAATAAATTACCATAAATTTTGTTTTGACAAAGGATATAGAAATTATTTACTTGTTAAACACGTTCTTTGACTGTTGATTATTATTTATTATAATCAGTGAGATATATATTAAAGATCTTAAACCTAGTTTAAACAAACAATCAGTGAGAACGTGTTTAACAAATTTATGATGTCTCTGAAACCAGAAATTGCTTGAATAGAATTCTTTCAAATGCTTTCTTTTCCCAGCAATTTACCCCGAGTCTGCAGCCACTCTGGGATTTTGCCGTGGTGAGGCCGTTTACTCACGAGAGTGCGTTCATACAGTAAGTATAGCATTTTAGCAGAACTAAAAATTTAGTATCCTTCCTTATTTTGACACTTGCGAAACTTGACGCTCGATAACGCTCGATGCTTGCGTGATCTAATTTCATAAAACAACGCCAGGGGAAGAATCTTTGCGGTATAGAGGGTTTCACTGAGCTCTATCGTTCAATGGATAGTGGTGGGCGAGTACGTTAAGTCTGACATACCCTGGCCAACTGGCCGTTATCGAAGTTAGAAAATAATGTTGATTTATTTTCGTGACGTATACCTTAATTTTTCGAGTTGAAAATATTTTACATTTCAGCTCCACACTCGAGAACTTTGGATGAAAGAAGCTCGCGTTGTGAAAGTAAGCGAATTAATTTCAGAACATTCCTAGTTTTGCAGTGTATTTTCATTTGAATCACATCCATTTTCCTTATAATTTTATGTAGGCTGGAGAAGAGACGTACAAAATTGTGAAAGGAAGGAAAAGCAGGGTAGGCTTCTTCACTGTAAAATCAGTTAACTTGAGATTTTTTGCAATATTTAACCCAGTGATTTCGCGTTTAGAGAAAAATGTTGGAAAATGTGGGTGAAGTGAAAGCAGAATTATTTGGCAGATGGCAAACTAAAGAGTATATTCCACCACCAGTCGTGGATGTAAGAAATATTGTTTGCAGATATATTTGAATAATAGACCACTTTCGTAATACAGATGGATTTAAACATTCTTTTACGTACATTTTAGTAAGCCTTTTCGGCCTCGTTTTTGTCACCAAAATTGAACCTGGACGAGGCTAAGACGGCTTATTAAAATGTATTTAATAAACCCATCAATTGAAATGGTTTGTATCCGGATATATTCTTGTTTTTTAGTTCATCCAGATCTTTTTTAAATTTAATTAATAGTTTTATTTTAATTTGTCTGACGTTTCGGTTCCCTATACGGAAACCATTTTCAAAGACAAAATAAAACTATTAATTTAATGTAAAAAAGATCTGGATGAACTCGAAAACAATTAAACCCATCCGTATTATGAAAGTAGTTTATATCATGCATGTTTCTGATTTTGGTTTTCTTGATTCCTGATAACTATTAACAAACACTTCCAGAATTTGCTTGACTACATAAGAAACAATAGCTTGCACTCGAGGTTGGCAATATGACCAAGCCGTGACCGTGGACAATTTTCTGTTTTCAGGGCAAAGTTCCAAGAAACGAATACGGGAATGTTGAATTGTTCAAACCCAGTATGTTGCCTGCTGGCGCCTGCCACATTCAAAGTAATGTCATGTTAAACATTCTTATGAAAATATCTTTAAAGGCTGCTTGGCTCCTTGTCATGTGTTCTTATTTACAACGCTAACATTGCTTCCTAGTCCCAGGCATACATCGTCTCGCTCGGAAACTGAATATTGACGCGGCTCTTGCTGTTGTTGGATTTGATTTTCACGGCGGATTTAATCATCCAATGTAAATAATATTACATGCATATTCATTTTCTTGCATTGCCGGTTGCTCATGTCCTTCATCTAATTAATGGTTAATAATTTTTTTAGCATGGACGGAGTGGTGGTTGGCGAGGAATACAAGGAGCAATTATTGCTAGCATGGGATAAAGAGCAGGATGAAAAGATAGAGCGGGAACAAGCTGTACGTTTTGCAGATATTTATAAAAAGCTTTTTAAAAGTGATTTTGGCACGGGTGACATGTATACACTGTTTGCCTGTTAGTAATGGTTGAGGGCATGGTATTGAAAAAGTAATTCCGATTACAGTATGTGCATCGCCATCTATAACAGAAAGTCATATAATTGTTTTGCTTTGTGTTAGAAACGAGAAAAACGAGTACTTGATAATTGGACTCATCTTGTGAGGAGTTTGCGTATCAGAGAGAGGCTTAAACGAAAATACAATGTAGAGGTAGTGTATTCAAACACTTGTTGCTGTATGCGCTGTGTTGATCCATAGGGGCCAAATGTTTTTTCAAGGAGGTAGATTCTGAATTTTATTCTGTGTAGTTACAAATGACGGCTGTCAATGGTTACCGTAAAAAAGTTATTGCTAAAGAAGGGGAATGGATGTTTTCGTATGTTTTCAATATAGGAAGATGTTGTGCCGAAGAGCAAAGTTAAAAGTGATAGTCCAAAGGAAACAGAGGATATGACAGACATATCGTTATCATGGCCTCTGAATAAACAAGGTATCGTTCAATATGATCAGGAATTCTTGTATGTTGTATTACACACGTAAAAATGTCACAACTTATGTCGTCTAAATCTCACAAGATATGTTCGCGACAGGCTTGTAGCAAGCTTGTCAACAAGTTGTAACAATGTTGTTATTTTATCAAGTTGCTACAAGGTTGTCACTCGCAACTTGTTGACAAACTGTTAAATTGCAGGACGATAACAAGTTGTTGGAACAACTTGTAACAAGTCTGTTGATCTCAACAACCTTGTAGCAAGTTGCCAACAAGCCGTTTAGTATCATTTTCTCACTCTCATAAAATTGTCGACAAATTTGAAGTTGAGTGCCATGTGTGACACTATTTGAAACGCTTAATATCCTAATTTGTTTCATTTAGAGGGCAAAACAGCTCGCGATGATGATGGACATTGTCACGTGTTTTTATCAGCCAATCACGTGCAAGATCCTGTCACGGGAGAATGGAGCAAGACCTGTGCATGTGGATTGAAGGAGCCGCTTGAAGTGTTGTGAAAACGTCATCTGGTAGGATTTGAAATTTTGCTCGGGATCGGAGTTTATATTTGCAGCGAAAACGGCGATGCTACGGTTAAAAAAATTTCGTTTCAGTGGTAGACTCTCGGCGAGAGCCCACATAACAATCATTCTTATCCAGCCAGTTCTTGATTTATCATTTCTTTTTATATTTTTATTTACAATGCGGTTGGTTTCGCTATATGAAACGACATCGTATATTTTACGGTGTAAGAACAAACACTAGATATTAATTACATAGATTGTTTTGTTAGTTTCCAAAAACATTTCTCGCGCAAAGGCGATTGGAAGCAACTGAACTCTTCTGAACAGTTTCTTAATTTAGAACATGTTTATATTGTTGTATATTAACCTAAATTGTTTTGTTGAGTATTAGTTTAGAACAATGTGGGCATACTTTACAATGCCAAGCGCATTATAGCGATAAATAACTTCGATATTTTTCATCAAATCTCAAAATTAAAATTGCACAGCATATTGGGAATACTTTTCGCAAATCATTAATATTTCATCAGAAAAACGCAGAGAAAATCACTATCGCTTTATCAGAAATTCAATGCAAAAGGACAAAAGGTTGCATACATATGTAAAAACCTCACAACTTGTCAACAAGATGTGTTCGCAACAGGCTTGTAGCAAACTTCTCAACAAGTTGTAACAATGCAGTTATTTTAAGTTGCTACAAGGTTGTCGCTCACAACTTGTTGACAAATTGTCCAATTGCAGGACGATAACAAGTTGTTGGAACAACTTGTAACAAGTCTATTAAGCTCAACGACCTTGTAGCAAGTTGTCAACAAGCCGTTAACAACTTGTCAACAAGCTTGGAACAAGCAGTGTAAACACGTTGTTGGGAACAGCAATGCTACAAGTCTGCTGCAGGTTTGTTACAACTTGTGCGTTTTTACGCGTGTAGTTTATGGGCGATTATTTCCGTGGTATCTAGATAACGATACGCGTTGTTGATTTGCTTTGCGTTTTGCTCATGAATTATTAACGAGTTTGTAAAAATATTAAGTAGAAAATCTCTTGCCATGAATGATATACAGTATAACGCAAACTGTACTGAACCGTAGTACAATGACATGTCTAAAAGTCAAGCTTGTAAACATTGACGAGTTTCTTAACGGAGAAGAAAAGACCAAATATTGTGCTAAAAAATCCGATAACAATGATCGACACATCAACCACATATCCAACGTTGGTCATCTCGCTTCTCATTAAATTCAGATGAAATAACGCGGGGAAGACTAGGACGAGTGCGACCGCTGACACACTGCCGACGACCGCCATCAGAAGCGAGAACTCTGGTACCATAACGGCGACTATTACCGACAACAACACGAGCAGGATCCGAAGACCTGAATTCACACATAATTCCTTGTTAGAAAGCGTGTAATCTTCCGTCGAGTGGCAAGGTGGGATCAGTCGCAGATTCCATTTATCGATGATATTTATGAGCGCAAACGAAGGCAATGCATACGAAAACATTCCGTTAAATCCGAGAAACGTATCAATCGCTGACTTGAGAGGACCATAAGGTAGATTCTCGGAAACCTCCTGCATTGTTTCCGTCTTGAAGGTGAACACAGCCAGGGTTCCAAACGCGATCTTAAAAACCATTGCGATGGCATAACATATGTTCATGACAAGCGGAAAGCGCTCGGGAGACTTCATTTTCTCTTCGACCGACGGCAGATATGGGTGGGACACAAAACTGAACAGAATTATACACCAAGCGATCGGGAAACCTTCGGGATTAAAGAAAGGCAAGGCATCAAGGTCCCAGGTATGATATTCAGAGATGCTATACCCTATAGTTGAGGTGAAGACGAAGAGTAAGGCAAACACACTGAACATGCTGAGCCATGAGATCCGAGAGAGATCGTTTATGAATACGCTTGGGAAAACCAGGATTCCTGCAATCGCTGTCCAGATGTATGGCCGGAGGACCGGATGAGGCCAGATGTCGTTCAGGAAGTCCGAGATGAGTAGGAGGTAGAGGACTAGGGCCGAGAAGAGATGCAGGACCTGAGCACAGCCAACTATAGTCTTTCCATGGTTTGGCCAGCAATGTTCACCTGGAGAAGCGATATAATTACGATACAACATAGGCATTATTTGGACAATAGTCATTGTTTTAGATAATAGGCCATTGTTTTGGACAATAGATTATTGTTCTCATACGATAGAGTCATTATTATCACACAATAGATTTATTGTTCATACACAATAGTAAACAATAGAGCCATTGCTTTGGTACAATGAAGCCATTGTTCTTACACGAAAGCCATTGTTCTAACACAATAGATCGGATTGTTTTAGACAATAGGGGTATTGTTTCGACACAATAGGATGCAATGCTTAGTCTTCATATATACCTACCTAAGTCAGCATAACCTTGGCGAACTCTGACTTTCACTCCTCGTTGCTTCGCATACAAACAATCAATGATCAATTTCCCAGTATAATTGGTCAACAACGCGACAAACACCATCGCAAATATAGAAGCATAACCTCCTTGGCTTATTGCATAGGGTATGCCTAGGGTACCTGTGCCTAGAATAAAAAAAGCGAATGTTGTCGTCAGCCGTTGAAGAATTCTTGAGGAAATGGCGGTCTACCGGCACTTATCAGAGTTGGAAAATAATGTTAATGCATTTTATTTTCATTTTTATGTTCCTATAAGCGCTAACATCTGTTTCTGATTATATTTTTGTGGCTTCAGTGACCCCCATAACTACATATCCGTATCAAATAAGCGAAATTCAGACGATTTGTGATCGCTGGCGTTGCCTCAACATAAATTCCATCTCATTTTAAAGTTTGCCGTGTTTTTGCCGAGTTTTCAAATGATGGACAAAGAAAAATTGAAGTTCTATTTTAAAAATTGCATTATAGATAAGATTCGTATCCCCGTTGTTTTTAACTTTATGTTATCTTGCTAAAACCTTTTGCCGGATAAATACAAGATAAAGAACACAAAATAGTACAAGATAAATACAAGAAAACACAACACCGCCTACGCCTAGAGCGTTGGTATCACGTACAATTCTACGAAAGCCAATTTAGTAAATTTACAGTAATACAACTAAGTGAACTACAGCACCGATTATCATGCACAGTTAGCAGAACAAAGTTGGTTGGGGTAGATTCTTCTCAAGTAAATTAAAAATATTTTCAATTTGCGTGCATGCAATCTGTGGCACCAGAGCACCTAATCTTCACTAACCACACCTAATTAGTCAATAACATAATTACTTTCAATTATCTGCCCAGTTATTTAATAATTTGTGGTGACAGGGTTGTATTTTCCCGCCATATACAATAATACGATGTTAATCTGTTTTTCCAATTTCCAAGAGTTAGAAATACGGTTTGCAATTTATGAACTTAAATCTTCGAAACAAAACGCGATATTCTTGTCAAGTCTATGTTTTAGTAAACTACTAAAACTTTCCAACATTTTAAATTTAAAAGACAAACATGATTAAGCATTATGCTCGTTGATATCAGGAATACTGAATCAAAACATTTGTGTTTCTGGCTTGTCTTATTATCTCAATTTTTAAATATCATACAAACATAGAAATAACTCCTGTTTATTTTGTCTCATATTTAGTTTACTTTAATTTATCTTTGTTTTAAGCCAACTTTTGGCTAAAGTAATAATATGGTTTAATGATGTTTTGTTTTGCATGATATATGATGTTATATTGACACATTCACAGTTCTAAACAATTTATTTCAATTACCAAAATCATTTCGAAACTCAGTGTGAAGCCTGACATATTAAATCGCATACATGCATAAGAGATGAAACGATCTATGGGTCTTTATATACAAGAGGGTCTTAATAGCGCTCTTTGGACATCACTTCTAAATACAATGAGCAAATTTCAAGTTACAAAATGTCAGTTCCAAATTGCTTTTCATCGTCTGTCAGCTTTCAGTTAAAATAGTTTATCAGTTGTCAGCAAAAAGTATGGGCAAACTTTATTAGTACGTTAACTCCATCCAGAACCTCAAACAATTCCATCGTTTATCAGTTGCCAGTTAAGATACTGACAATTGCAATGAGTAGTCTGTTAACCCCATAAACACGGGCATGTGACAGTCTTGTTAGTGATCATTCCAAGAAAATTTTAGTAGTAAGTTTCCCCCATCAATACGTGCAAATGTTAGTCGTACATTAGCCCCATTGTGACCTTTCACACAACCTCTTACATTGTATTTAATGGGAACTGTTTAATTGTTTATCAGTTAAGATGTGACAGTCTTGTTAGTGCTCAATCTGAGCAAATTTTGTAGTACAAACACCCCGTCAATACAGGAAAATGGTAGTAGGACGTTTGCCCCCATTGTGACACAACATTTTACCTTGTATTAAATTTGAAATATTCCATCCAGCTTGTAGACTCGATGTGGTTCCCTTACTCTCTGCAGAGAATACTTCTTCATCATCGTCTTCACCTTCTTGCAGGAGCTTCGTATCCTCCTTGCTGTCCAAGTCATCTTCTCCAATTGCTTCAATGTCATGACTGGCTTGTTTGTTTACTTTCGGCGCTGTTGGACTAGCCGTTGTAGTTTCCGACCTTCCTTTTGCTGGCTTTATAAGCTCTTCTTGTTCAGAATCCGCTCCTGAAAAGAGGTTCACAACAGACTCTATAATATTATTGAAAAACGACATATAATTCTTCTTCTCGCTGGGTCTTGCTGGTTCATTCCGTTTCCTCGAAGTGTTAGGTGACCTCTTTGGCGATTGTTTGGTCGGGGATTTTTGCGCGTTCTTACTGTTTTGCCGTTCAAATTTTGGTATATGTTCATAAACTCGAGCTGTCGGTTTTTTATTCCCTCGGAACAGCGCCTTCACTTTGTAGCTAAAGCCGGCGAAAGCCGTAGCAATGTTCATGGTCTTGCCTGGTGCTAAGGACCCGCACGTGTATCACCACCTAAGGCTAACCACTGCAGGCCACTCATAACTATAACTGTGCACGCCAAAAACAAGTCTACATGCATTTTGACAGTTTTTAGTTAAAATAAACCTAGTCAAAACTCGTGAATTATTAACGACTTTTGACGTGGCCCAGCTTGACGAGATTTATGCACCGACCAAATCCGCTTAGATTTTCCCTCCAATTCCATTAGATTTGTGTAAGGTGACACCCCAACAACTTCTCAGCTTATTAACTAATTTCGCTTTAATTAACAATGCTTTTCGACGCGTTATGTTCAACGAAGAGGAAAGTCTTCTAATTGTCTTCCCCTGAATTATATCTTTGGTCAAGTGTTCCTTAATTAGTTCGATTGCGAATACTGTTGTAAATTTTGCCGGGACAAGGGCTCTCTTAGTTCCAAGTGAAATCGTCTGTAATGACCAGAAATAAGAGCATAATACTTGAATGTTTGAGTCTAATTAAGTAAAAAAATCTACACTTTGAAACAGTTTAAAAGGAGTTTGAGAAGTTGGTTTTCATCCATGAATTTATAGACATTGGGCAAGCGCCTGGCGAAGCAAAACAGTTTTAACTGGTTTTTGAAATGCACTAGCCCTATTTTCATTGAGAAAATTAAATGCACTTTGCTGATGGAACATATCTGTGTTAATAAGATAGCAATAACTTTGACGCGTCGTCATACCTTTGATGTTTGTATTGCTATTTATATATATTGCTGTTTGAATTCTAATTTTAAAACATTTTGCTAATGATGCACGCCTATATTGAAGTATATGTGATGCAAACATTATACTTGAAAAACTACAGTATTTTCTTTCTATAAGAAGATCTACTGACAAAGTTGAAATTCTGCGCTATCCTTATATGCCCTCGGGGTTGTATCTAACATTTTAAGTGAATCAGAGGGATTTGACTTTGCCTTTCATGTACGATAAAAACGACTTTGCTGATACATTCCATGATAACAAACTTTTTGTGTTTGGGTTTGAAAGAGATCAAATATTAATCACGGCGAAAAATGATAAAACGCTTTTTGATAATCTTGTGAAATTGAAGAAATAAGCAACCATTAAAACTGGGCGGCAAATACGTTTCCTTGGAAAAGATTGTAATGTGATTATGTTTCTTTAATTTGATGCAAATTTATAGTTGTCTCGTATAGAAAGGTAAAGAAGAAAACGTTTTTGCAAAAATGTTTCATCACAATATGTTTTGTGGTTCGCCCACGTTTGGGAAACATGGCTACGAAACAATTTCCTGGTTTGCCCGCCTTCTGGAAACACAGCTAGAAAACAATGTTTCCTGGGTCGCCCACCTTCGGGAAACATGGCTAGGAAACAATGTTCCCTGGTTAGTTCTCCTTTGGGAAACTTGGCTAAGAAACAATGTTTCCTGGTTTGTCTACCTTCGGGAAACATGGTTAGGAAACAATGTTTCCTGGTTTGTGCACCTTTGGGAAACATGGCTAGGAAAGAATGTTTCCTGGTTTGTCCACCTTCGGGAAACATGGCTAGGAAACAATGTTTCCTGGTTTGCCCACCTTTGGGAAACATGGCTAGGAAATAATGTTTCTTGGTTTGTGCACCTTCGGGAAACATGGCTAGGAAACAATGTTTCCTGGTTTGTCCACCTTTGGGAAACATGGCTAGGAAACAATGTTTCCTGGTTTGTTCTCCCTTGCGAAACATGGCTAGGAAACAATCCTACAGTTTGCAACGAATATAAACTTTAGAATATATATGAAATATGTAAAAAAAAACATATATAGTACGCATGCCCAGTGAATGAAATGATACACTTGGTTTAATTTTAACCATCCCAGGCCCCAATGCGCGCGGTCGTCTTTGAAATTTTAATTACTACTTATTGAAACTCCCTCCCACTACATTTTAATTTAAAACCTGAGTCGTAATATTAAACTTTCTGCCTTTTAATAATTGTCAATCCCTTTTCAATATTTGCCGACTGTAATGGATTAACAAATATAAAACGCATAAACAACTTACAAACTTTAATAATTAATGATAGTTGATGTGCTGCACATGTATAATTAACGGTTGAATATATACAGATAATGACAAACTTTATAAAAAATATTTTAAAATTTCCGGTGTCGTCGGTAAGACCCGAATTCGTCTGATAAAAGACAACTGGTGCATACATGCATGCATATAAAGATTAACAAAACATTGTCGTTAATAAAATGGCGATATTTCTATTCGTAAATGTTGAAGTAATTTATAATTAATAACCGGCTTTGCTTATATCGTGTGAAATCTATTGGGATATATACGCTTGCATATAGGAAAACTTAAAAATTTTTCCAAATATTTTTGATACCCGAAACTTTGTCAGAATTTTCGGAACAGGGACTTTTATTGGTTCCATTTAGCAATTGTTTTTGTGTTCAAACTTCAGAGCAACGAAATTTCTTTATTCTTCAGCGTCCTCTTGGATAAGGTCTTCAGATCAGCTGCTTATATTAACTCCGCTATACACGAAGTTAACTTTGCTTTGTCTAACTCCAAATTATTTTAACTACTTTGTTTTAACTTTCGTTCTTCAACAAAATGGCAAATAGTTATTCTTCATGTTAAACCTCATTCCTCCTCCAAACTCCTTAAAACGACCACGCACTCGTATGCATGAACGAGAGCAGAAATGTATACTTAATTAAAAACTATTTTAAATAAATTTTAATATACTTCAGCTTATCAAAAGCGAAGTGATATTAAAACGTATTCCATGGTTTCATCTTAACAATTACAGATGACGCTTTAAAAATGTCCTGTCATTATCCGTAATTATAGCATTTGTTTTCGCCTGTTTTACTCTGCTGATAAAACCTCAAATTTTCAAAATATGCTCCATTTATTGGCTTCAAGTTTAAGAATTCGTACATAAAAGAAAACGGATGAAACGGAAAACAGGTTTAGATGTGCAGGACCGAAACTTCACCAAACAAAGTTTTCAAATTCCGAAATTTAGAGGATCAAGCATTACCGTTGATATTTTTCAAAGTTAACTGCATTAGTTATTCAAATTGCCAGAGGCAAAGATTACCTAATAGAGGCCCATGTATATATGGGTTTTTTTCTAAACAACGTCAACGCTCTAAATTTATGCTCTTATCTACACAAAACATCCTTATATATCTTAATTTGCTTGGCGTTCTTCTCAATTGTAATGATTTAGCTACCGAAACAATTACTGTTTGCCAAACCTGCGCAAATACAATTTGTCATACGTTAAGGGGTAATAATCTGCCTTCGTTCAATCGTAACGACTGCGTTAATCAGTTTCGCGCGAAGTTCCTTACTTTCATTCTAAGTGTGTTTTCTATTCTTTGATTTTTTCAGACCAGGTCAATGGGGAATTCGTTTTAAGCTATGACCGCAAAGCGCCAAGCAATTTATTGAACACTCCCCAACTATACACACATGAGTTTATTTAAACAAATATAACGTATTGAATATAATCCTTTACTTACCTAAATTATCCATAGTCAGTCAACAGAAGTACGAACTATTAAATAATGATCTACAATGTTTGGTTTTAAAGTCAGACAACCGAACAAGTGTTCCTCTTGTGTAGAGATTAAATCACAAACACAAAATCACGGAGGCGCCGATCAATGCCACGACACCCTAAAAATCTACTCTTCAACTCAGCTCGGCAAAAAGTTAGTTTATTGAATTTTTTACTCTGCTTTAAAAGAATCTGCCAGTTTGAGTGGAATTTTTAACGCGAGCAAGTTTCGGTATGTTGCGAGTCGGTAAAAGTCGCATTAAGAGAGCTTTTGAATTGTTAATTCATTTCGAGATTGTATGCTAGATAATAAAATGAATAGATGCTATTGGTCAGTCAATTAAATAATTGGTCAACGGATATTATATATACTTGTAAAAACAGCGGTCGTATTTGTTAATTATAGCGATCCAGCTGACTGGCGTCCAGGCCTCGTGCGCAGGCCGAGTAGCAGTTTGTCAGGCGGACAGAGCTCTATGTATATACCTGGAGTAATTTTCCATTCACCGATAATGAACACAGTGTGATTATAATTTGTTTGACCGTTATTATATAAATGACGACCGTTATGATATAAATAGCGCTTATTATAATGTTAATTAGTTTGACTCATCACAGTTGAGTTAAATAAGGCCTGTTTCATACGCCACTGACTATCGTCGAATTTAGTTCAGACGAATTTAATTGATGAAAAGAATTAAATTTGTCCAAGACGTTTTATCCCGTCATGGTCAGACGGATACAACGTCTGTAGCGCGTCTTCGTTTCATACGACGTCGTATCGTCGTGTTAATTAAATGCATAAATTATGTTTAAGTCTTTCCATGGCCTATCGAAGGGGAGATGGCTGTGAAACTCATTAGAATAACAATATAACTCGTTACCTATGTTAGTCAACGTTTATTCATAAATCTAGTCCTTTCACCGTCACCTGTGCATATTGTATTTTTACCAAATCCACCAATAGCAATGTCCAATTTCCCTATTGTTCGAGTCACGGATAGGTGACTTTCCTTAAACATTGTTATTGATTAGTTGGGTAAAAATACAATACACACGTTGACCAACATAGATAATAGTTATATTGTTATTCTAATGAGTTTCACAGCCATCTCCCTTCGATAGGCTATGGTCTTTCTGATCCCGTGGTTTTTATTTCTGAGTCATCCATGTCGACCAATTGACGAATTTAATAACGAATTAAACTCGTCTGAATAATACACAAGTCGGATCTTTTTTCCAGCCATGTACGGTATGCTACACTTTTCAATACACGCAAACTACACTTTCCTTTGTTCCTTTATTATATTTATAGTCTATTTCTAATTTTGACTCTTATATTCAAAACGTTTAATTAAATTTGACGATATTACCTTCTCTATTATATGTACATTGTATTTAATTATAAGTCCTCAGTTTCGTTAAATTAAATGTCAAGGCGGGTTATCATTTCATAGACAATTCTGGATTCTTATTGGATAAGACCGTGGTTTGATAACATTAAATATTTTAGTAATAATGTCAACAGCGCAATAGGCCGCAATACTAATTTATAGTGTTTGATATTAACAGATTGAAGCTTATATTTTATGCAAATAGTTCCCAGCGTCTGAAAGAAGTGGTTTACTTTTTCCAAAATTTGATGAAAAACTCAAGAGCGAAGAAAATGCCAAATTCAATCCAACTTGTATTCCAAAGTTGACGATATAAAATTGATATGAATACCTAGAACTGTAGGACTGTAATCTGGGCTGACAAAAGGTAATGGCAGATATATTTTCATATTATAAACCTTGTTTACTTTATTTCGACGTTTCTGGCGATAAGGCTCTTCGGTTTTTTTGCTCGAAACGTGAACGTGTTTTCAATTTTTTTCGGATGTTTCCAACCCAAACTATAGCTATAGCCTACAGCTTATTGTAGATTGCGCACGTCCTTCAGGAGGGCCCCCTATACCTCTTCACAATATGCTTTCACGTAAAAATATTTTGCCTTTTCACGAGTCACGGATTAAGAAAATCATCGATCACGCTTCACGGCTAAGTAAAATAAGCCCGTCACGCTTCACGCAAAACGTATAGGGGGCCCAATCACGTTTCACGGCTAAGTAAAATAAGCCCTTCACGCTTCACGCAAAAAGTATAGGGGGCCCTCCTTCAGTGAATGGTAATGAATAGAAGGGATGGATGAGAGGAAGATTTTCAAAATAGTTCAAAATTTAAACTCGGAGTTCGCTTTTAGTTTAAGGTTGATGTTATAGGGTTAGGACTGGTGTAAAGTTTAGGGTAGGTTTTAGAGTAAGGTTTAGGACAAGGTTTAGGATTATTATAAGTGCCTAGTTGATGATTCTTTCGCGTTTTAACAATCTCGAAAATAGCCTAGTTCAAACGTCTTCAGATACTGATATTCAGTTAATATTTTATTCAAAAAAGAAACAACGTTTAACAACTGTAAGAGAAAAAAACGCTGTTCTGTATTTTCATCAGGATAGTTCTATGTTCATATTGAGGCAGATGGTGCATCAGAATGATAACATTAAATCTTGCCAATTCTAATTTACTTTTTTAATTAAAGCTTTGTTTTATATAGGGGACTATGGAAGCTTCTACCCGTGAGAACCCGTTCGCAGGCTAAACTCAGCTCAAATGTCGTTCTTTGATTTCGATAACACCACCCACAATCCTTTGGGCGAATGCACGCTGACGTCATTTCTCAAACGTGCGCCAAGGCGGGATATAGTGGAACACAAGATAGCTTTGATCATTATTCAATCAATCCTATGTCCTTTCGCCATATCAATAAACTTATTATTCTTGAAGGCTTACTCCTCAAACTATCGCTTGCAAAACACATCCAATCTATTACTGGCGAATCTGTCACTTTCGAATTTATTTTACGTCTGCATTTCACTGCCTTTGTCAACCTTACGTCACGTGATGGAGATCATGGGGACACACGTGTGCCTATTATGGGATATCCAGCAATGTTCATTTCTATACCTATCTACCCTATCGTACATGGCGTTACTGCTCATAAGTAGCGAACGATTTGTTGCGCTATTTTTGCCGTTCCGTCACGTGCACATCTGCACCATCCCACGAATGAAATGCGCAATCGTGATCGCATGGTGCGTATGCTCGGCCCTGATGGGGTTTCTCCGTGTTGGCGCAGTTATATTTTATTCGGTTTTGTGTTTTTTACTCGTCGTAGCCTTGTTTGGAGTTGCAGTTATACATTGGAAAATATTCCTCGAAGCACGAAAACAACGGCACAATATTTTTGCGGAAAGGTTATCCATTTCGCAAAATATTCCAGGACTCGCTGTGGCAAAATCGCGCAAGGCGGAGAAGAATGTCGGCTGTGTTATTGGTTTCATGTTGCTCTGCAGTCTCCCTATGGTTGCTTACTTGGTGTACGTGCTAATATATGGCTATACGTTGTCTGCTATTTACGTGTTTTGTGCCTGGGGCGAACTGCTCTTGTTTGTGAATGCGTCTGGCAACCCGTTTATATATTGTGCGAGAAACAGGTGTATACGCCAAGCTATGTGGAACGTGATTTTAAGGAAAAATTAAAAACGGTTAAGATATTTGTAGAAAAACAGAAATCAGTCTTAAATTTAGAACTGTCAGGTAAAGTTGGTTAACTGTAGGTATGAGCATGAAGGTGCTACCAAAGTGGCCAATTTTTAACACAATTTTTAACACAGCATTTACATTTATTAACTTTGCAAGCATAAAATTTCAATTTCAATAACAATTTTTAAATTACAATAACAAAGTAGTGTGGCCAGGTTACTGCAACAGCTTATTGCGAATGGACAACTTGCATGTTAGACTAAATTTTAATCTGAGTAACGAGAAGCGAATCAAACACAACAGTTAAAAAGAACATAATGAAATTAGTAAAATTGCAAAATTTGGTTACGAAATGTTGTAAAATACGGAAAATATAGACATCCGAAGCTTGCACATTTTCAGTATATTTGTATTACGTGCGGAAATTGTTACCATTTTCGGCTCAAACATGGTAACAATTTCCGCACGTAATATAAACATACTGAAAATATGCAAACTTCGCAAGGCTATATTTTCTGTATTTTACAACATTTCATAACCAAGTTTTGCAATTTTCCTGATTTTAATAAAACAAAGAATTGAAGACATGTACAGATCACTTCCTCGAGACTTTCGGCCCTCGGGAAAAAAAACCGTTTTGCGACGAAACCCTCGGTTTTTCTAATTAACATAATGCGCGTGTGTGGGAGGTATGGGAACAATTTCGCCAGGGGGGTGAGGATGAAATTGGGTAAAATTTTAATTGTTGTTCTTCTGGAGAGACAAACCGACAAAGGTGCAATATAAAACTATTTTCTAGTAGCTTCTTGGCTAAACAGCGAAGTAAATATGTCTATACAATGGACATTGGCAGCTGGATTTCTCTACGCAGAAATGGCGTTTTTATTTTTGTTGTGTTTACCGATTATTTCGTCTGCAAGGTGGGTATACAAATTGAGCGAATTAAAATACTTTTCCACGTTTTTATGGACTTTGTGCTGTCTCTTTTGATTTAGATGGAGCCAAATTTTTAACTCGAACTTTCTTTCAACGTGCCTCACCTATAGTCGTCTCTATTTTAATGTTTTTTTCGTTGCATTGTTGATCTTGTTTTTGGGTAAGTAATATAAATATAATTCAGTAAACTTAGGCTAAAACGCCTAAAAGCACGAATATAAAGCAAAATAATTGCTCATCAATCGTTTGTATTGAAACTACTTTTAATAAGCCGACAGTAGTCCTTGACAAGCTAAATAAAATATGAACTAAAAAGCTCTAAAAATGTTTACAATTGCTCATGTATTTTACAAGTTCCTTTCATGAACTTGTAAATTTTGTGACTTTTAGAGCACAATTATTTTGTTTGGATCAAAAGCTATTTTGAACATCTTTGTAAAGTTGGCACCGAACATCTGCTCAATATCGAATAGTATGAGAAAATGTAAATTTGGTTTTACCTGTTGAGAATTTGTAACCCCCAGCTGAGGATTTTGTTTTGGAAAAGTGTACAACCTTTTATGTAAAATATCTTTGAAAATGCAAATGAAAATAGAAGTGAAACTGTCACTTCCAAGGAAGCATATGCCTTTTCAGGATTGGTGACGGCATCTTGCCAAGCAGGGCAAACACAATAGAGCAACAAATACCACAGAATAGAGACCACACAGAAGTCTGACTTGTCAGTGCCTATGATTTTGTCATAACTGTTGCAATGGCCTGTCGCCTTGTTCCTAGCCTGTGCATTTACAAGAGGCATTCACCCCCCCTGAAGATATTCAAAATGGTGAATGTTTAGGGGGTGAATGCCTCTTGTACATGCACTGCCTAGGAACATGGCAAGTGTATTTTGATGACGAATCATGGTGTGGCGGCAGTTACACCTTTTTTGATGAGTCGGTCTTCTGTGACAATACAACATTCCCATGTTGACGTGACAATGTTTACTTTTACCACACAATGCATGATGGTGTCCCAAACTTCAATTTTTCTCACTCTGTTAACTGCTGATAGTATGATAGTGCTTCATGAGATCTACCAACCATACACATATTTTAACTGTTCGTACAAACAGTTTTATAACTTCCGTCTCATTTAGACTCGATGAGAGAGACATACAAATTTCGAGAGGATGAGTGGGCAAAAGCAGATCCTTCAATTGATCCACGAACATCAATGCAGTTCAAGATGAGGCTTTTCAGAGCACAGCGCAATTATTATATCACTGGTTTTGCTCTATTTTTGCTTTTGTAAGTCATAGGAACAATTAGAACATATTTGTATCTTTAAACTCAGAATAATGCTGTCCCCCCTCCCCCCAAATATCTACCAACCTCCCCCCCCCAGACTCCCTTTTGAGTTTGGCTGCATTGATATGTTAGTCCATTCCAAAATTATAATTCAGCTTGGGTGTTCATATACTTTTGGTTAGATTGTTTTATTATTTTCAGAGGTTTGTCCTAGTAACGCAAACAATACACCCTTTCGATAATTACGTCACACATACTTTTTGGTCTTGTAGCCCTTGCTCTCATTAGTAAATTATGCAAGGTGATTGGCTCACAATTCATGAGAGCGAGGCTCCCAGGCCAAATGACGGAATTATTGGAAGGATGTATTAAGTAGAGTCAGTGGTAATTTTAGAGTATTTTCCAATGTAGTGTTGTGCGACGAGTGGTCATGCTTCATCAAAACCTTGCAAAGGCTCTGGCGTCAAGCGAGGCTGCTGTGAAACAAGCCAAGGGCGTCAGTGACCATTGTGAACAATTGATGGAGGAAATTGAGGAACTCAAGGTACACTTGTGGATAAATAATGGATAACTGTCATTGACCCTGAAACTAAAACTAGACAATTAACAATAATTTATATTATCAAAATAGCTATGTCAGCTCTAAACTGTTCTTCCTTAGTAAGGGTCATCCCTTACTGGTTTTACACTAGGTAAATTTGTTTGTGCAAAGTAACTTTTTTATTTGTCAGCATTGCTTATCATGTCAGCAAAAGTGTTACCAACAAAGGAAAAAGTCAATTCACATGAACAAATTCACCTAGTGGAAAACCGGCTTTATTGTTCCACTATTGCATTGGGAGGAAAGTAAACTAAGTGTTTTTTTTTGCCGGCTGAGGAACAAAAGAGGCAGAACATTTTTTCTTACACACTGCTGGAGGGGGGGGGGGGACTGGGTAGGCCTCGAATTTCCCTGAAATCATTCCACAGCATTTTTCAAATTACTGTAATAAAACTTTGATTTTATTGTTACTTTGGATTTTTGACAAGCTAGAAACGTGTCTACGTATTTCTTTAATATTTTTTTTTTGAAGAAAACCGAGACTAAAATAGTGATTTACGCATGATTTGATCAACATCTGAATTCAAGTATCAAAATAGTATGCACAGTGAATAGTATAAAAATAAACTATACGGCAAAAAATTTCAGTCGTTGCCGCAATAATCCATGGCATTTTGTTCTCCCTCTACGGCAATCGCCACGATAAAATTCGAGGACTGGGTCCAGGGTGTGGTCAAGGTCATCATCTGGAGTCACTTGCCTCATGCTAGCCTTGACCTGTGTTGAAGTGACTGTATATGAATTGTTTTCATAGAAATCAAAGGGAATCAAAGATGAGAAAACTTCTGAGAAAGACGATGATCATGTTCAAGATTTGTTAGAGAAGAAGAATAAGGAGCTTGCCGAACGAGAGAAAGGTAAAAAGAACAAGTGGAAGTCCACACTTGTCTCGATTTAGACCTAGGAAACATTTTTCAGAAATATCTGAAAATGTTTCCATGAATGTTCTGCCAGTTAGAAATTAAGAATTTTGTCCAGAAAATGTTTTCTAAGAATTTTTTCATGCTAGTTTTCACCACTGATCAGTGGTTTTCACCAACCAATTTCAAATTCAAATTTTACTTACAAATTTGACCTTTCTAATATAATTTTAGTTTTGTTTTGTTTTGCAATGTTATTTTGGACTGTTTATTTTTTTAGTGTATTTTGCTGCCGAGAAATATATAAGACCAGTTGTTTGGCAGGGAATTCCAACTGTTTAAAACTGATTTGCAGATTTTGCTGTGAAATTGTAGGCTTCCTACAATTCCTGTCCAGCAAATCCAGAAACCTATTTAGTATTTAGTTTCTTACATTTTTGTTATGAGTTGTGTTAGTTGACGCTTAGTGCATTTTTGTTTCGATAGAGTTGCAAAATACTCAAAAAGATCTTGAACAGATGAAAAAGCAAGCTGAAGGAGTGAGCAAAGAATATGATCGATTGCTTGCTGAACACGATAAACTTCAGGTGAATACTCTACTTTTACTCTTTCATCTCTATGCTACCGTGTATGCTGTAATTGACTGTTACACCCTTCAGGAAAGTACTCAGTCATGGCTATAGGAGCCTCATTTTCATGCTTGAGATATTGGGTTTAAAGCCCTTTACCTTATTACAAGTGAGACATTTACAACACCATACAGTTATATCAGTGAATATAAAGACCTGTTTATAATTTTGTAATCGATAACAAGATAAATGCACTGAAACCATTGTCTGAAACACAGAAACGTGGCTCGATAGTCATGGCTGGCTAAGTACTTTCGTCTGGAAGTGTGTATTGTCTCTCATGCCCATTTGCCTGTTAAGTTTTTGCTAGTACCCTTGAGAATCATACCTACTGAAGCAAATCATTTTAATAAATTTAATACTGTATGAGATATTTCTAATTGTGTAGGATGAAATTACGCCGAAAACAGACACAGACAAGAAAGTTGAGTAACAGTTGCGATGGAACAGTTTAAATTTGACATGGTAGATAGTAAGTGGAACTTCTTCAATTGAATTTGCTTGGGAAAAATAAGGAAACTAGCGCAGGAAGGCTTCAAATTATATTTTACTTACGATATTGATCAAATTTTAGTTGAATACATATGTTCTGGGTATTACAGTAGCTGTCTGTCGTAAACGTTAATCTTAAAGTTTGTATTATTTTACAATTTACAAGGGGAGAGCTAGTGGTGGCACTCAATGCCATTGGGTTAAGTTCATTGATACTGTAGATGCACAGTTAAAAGTTAAAAAGCCAGTCATAGACAAAGACATTTGGCCATTTTTCATTGTACAGTAATAGTCAATTTTATTGGAGAAAATGCGTGAAGTTATGTAGGACTGAGCCAAGTCAAACAACTACAGAAATTCATGGCTCATCACTTCTTCATTTCGTTTTTCTCATGCAGATATTTTACAGGGATACTTTCAAATATTTTTTATTGTCTCAGGCACATTATATGTTAGGCAACCGCTCCTGGAATGTAACGAAATTTTGCAAATAATCTTGCTTTGATAATCGTATTATAATTCACAACAGTCGTATCGTTGCAGATAAGCATAGTCCATGTTGGGAGGTTTTTCACTCATTGTCTTCAAATATTCTATCTTTCTTACTGATAACTTTGCATGTTTGAAATTTTTGGAAAATTTTCACATTCCTAGTTCACATTCTTAGCGCACTTCCTTCAGAAACTAGATTATGTATTCAGGATAAAATTTGAAGTTTACTGTTTTCTATCAGGTGGCAATGTTATCGTGCTCTGTGGTTAGGAATTCTTCTTGATTTATAAATTATTCACGCTGGCAGAGCAAAAGCGAAATAAGTTAGTAATCTATAGTAGTAATCTCGTACCCAGGCTTTCGAATCTGCGCCTCATAAAATACAAAAGCCTAAACACATTTTCATCAACCTGGTTTACTTTATAGCCTGATTATTTTCGAAAACGGCGGACTATTTCGCATGAAACTGATTTAGTTCTTTGCCATCATAAATCTCGAAGGTATCTTGTTGAAGAATGAAACTAGTGATACATTACAATTTGGTTCCAGAGCTCAGTTGTGTTGCTATCTGATCAATATACACTTACGTCCAGTTAATTTGGATAACTTTAGGACTCCCTAGACCTCTCCCCACAGCCGCCTACTTCATCAACACAGTTCACACCTACTCAGAATAATTCTAAGCCCTGTATGTATATGCTATATATATTAAATAATTTAAATTGATGATTCAGAAATACTAAAACGGTTACAATGTTCAAACAACCTATTAAATAACCATAGAAAGGGTAAAAAAACATCTCGGTAAATTGTTAGTAACAAGTTAAATTATTATTAATGGCTTTATGTACAATATTGCGTTGTAGATTTATGGCTGTCGTGTCACTTTTCAACTAAGAAATGGTTTAAAAAGCTAGCAACTTAGCAAGTTATGAACCTTGAAAATGCATGAACTTAATTTACCGGCTTGTGACAATTGTTTAAACAGTACACGTTTACGAATGTGTTTATCTAAAAAAATCGCTCCTGCTTCTGAAAATCTGATACGAAACACGACGTGTTAGATCTTGTCAAGATGCGAGCCCATTCCAGCGTGTCAAAGCATTGTGCAATCACCTTTGCGCATTTTATTCAAAATATTCCCATTGATTTATTTTTATTTTTTGTACGTTGTAAACAAGTATTTTAATGACACATGTTGACGGTAAAATGTAATCAAATGAGATTTATCGAAACGGAAATTCGGTTGTGGCCATGGATGGGCGTAGAAATTGAATTTATCCACTTTTAGAATATTCCATGTCTGCTGATGGAGAAGAGAAACGTTTAACTGTAGTCATGTAGACTAGAAAGGGGCTGCTAAAATATACGTCCATTTGAAATATAGAAAAATACTGTAGAAAGAACTCGAAAAACATTTCATGCAAAATTGAACGTAAATAAGTACTTCTTCATGTGAGTTATCCCAAAATGTAAAATAGATGGCAAGTTCTACAGGGTGTCTCAAGAAAGTGAAGCTTTATAGAATTCACCCTTTTGTTGTAAACACTCTGTACTTCATTACCTGTGGCTGTGGGAGTTTAGGCTTCCGTTTACACTATACCGGATTCGCTCGTCACGACATCATCTTCTGCAGTTAAGGAGCAATGGTTAGTAGCAAATGCTTATTAGTTTGACAGAATTGGCATGTTTATTTGGGTCTCTGAGATTAAAAATCTTCACAGCCTTTCAATACCTACAAAATTTGACCCACTCCGATAGCAATCCGGTATAGTGTAAATGGGGCCTTAGAATGCATTGCCATTGTAATTGTACAAACATGCATGTTAAAACTGCATATTTAAATAGTACATGAAAATTTTAGTTAAAGTTAAAACGACTTAGAAATTAGCCCCGTCACTTCGATTAAAAATGGTTCTTCAACTGACTACAGAGCAAAGAGTTTTCCATGTTTTACGCGCCGCGTTAAATTAATCAACACATAATCATATTCATATGTTGAACGACACCAAAAACCTTTAAATAATTTCCCATGCATAAAATTTGTTTCAATTGCGTATATAAATAATTGTGTGAGGTACACCTCAACCACTTATAGTCGAGAAAAAATGTCGCGACATTTCCAGCGAAAACCCTTTGAAAACCTGAGTAGTTCATATTCATCAATATCCATGTTAATCAGTGTCTACCTCACTGATTCAGACAGCTTTCTTCGGAAGTTAAAATTTACTCTTTTTTTGTAAAAAAAACAAGTGGTCCTCTCTTTGGAAAGAGCACACTTGAGTGACTGTAATCCGTTTAGCGCTGAATTGGGTTCGCCGACCTCGTGATCTGACCTCAGCTGGCGTTCGTCAAGTTTATAGTTGAAGATTGTTGGCTTATTCTTTGACATATATATATCAGATTCGTGAAAGTGCGCAGGTTTCCCGTTTGTGGATTGTGGTTTATCGCTAGGAAATAATGACAAGGTCATATAGTGCACCTAATACATGCACGAGTCTGTATACAGCTATAATTAGCTGACACATTGTTTCATTGTAATACTCTATGCTTTATACATATAGATTGTTGCGACCTATTTTTGCGTAACTTACATGCCTATATAGTTACTACTAAAACACTCATAACATTTATTGCATTTCCATTTACATAGATGGTATTGCATACAATACAACAATAAAAATAAATAAAATAAGAGACCCAATTATTTACTTATATAACTTATAACAAGACTAACTAAAAGTCAATGTTTTCTTGTTTGAAAGGCTTCATAAATGAAGTGCGCTAATTTTTTACACATAAATGGGTCAATATTATTAAAAAGGAAGACTATTTTATGTTTTTTTTATTAAGATTAATATAACAGGGATATTTCAGAATAATATCGTTATAAAGTTTTTCTCTTTTCAATTTATTAAGAGTGCATTCGAGAAGAAAATGAGTTTCATTTTCTATATCTTTAGATTCACAATTTTGACATATTCTTAAATTTTTGGGGATTTTGGGGAAGACAATGTCTGCCAGTTTCAATTCTTAGATTATGATTACCAGATCTCAATTTCGCTATAAGGATTGTCTGTGCCGTGTATTTTTTATTAAATCTAACTGAATTGATTTTCTTTGATCTGTTTTAAACGATGAGTAAAACACGAGTTTCCTATTAGATCTTATCATGTCTGCTTGATGAATTTGTAATGCATTAGTAATTTTTTGTTTTATTTAATTTAATTGATTTTTTGCTTCTGAATCATGGATATTGAAGATTGTGTTTAAATTCACTGTTTGAAAGCTATAACGGGTATAATGTCTTTCTTTTGGAAACCTCGTTCAAACATTAAAAATACCAGTTGACAACATTATTCTGACATACATATAGCATCTCAAATGCTGGAGAACTAAAATCTTTCATACTACATTACAATGTTTATCAGTTGCTCCCATAGTAATGGCTGACTTTTGGCTCGAGTTTTTATACACAATATATAGTCAGTCCAGTTATATTTTGAGAACAGTAACACTTGAAGTAACGGGACGTATTGGCGACACGACTCACTTTATCCCAAATGTCAAATGGCTCAGGAAACGTGTACTTCAAACGCTTTGTGCCGTATCTTTTGTTTAATCTCTTGACGTCGTGAACACTGAACGAGCTTGAGTATGTCAGTTGGGATGAGAGAGAAAGTGCAGGGGCGTGGGAACAAGTGTACAAACAATAGAGTCCCATTTGCCCGATGCCATCCAGTTTACTCGCATATCCAATTTAAATGCTTGGGTACCTTTGTTTTATTCCATACTGTAGATCAGCCACCGCGTGTTCCATGTATATCTGGAGCAATCTGAGAACTCACGTTCAAAACGCGAAGCGGAAATTAACATCCTTCCTGTTGTTTTTGTCTGCCCGTTCGTAAGGCTGCAAGGAGCGTGCCAAACTTTCGTGTTTTGACTTCGATTTAAAGAATAATATTGTGGTTTATTATAACTTGATTAGCAGTACGACCGTTAGAAAAAGCTGAAGGGAAATGGTATCAGAATAGTTTACGATCTTCGTAGATTTGGACATCAATTTCCGCCCTCACAATGGGTTGCGATATCCAGCTTTCTTTTAGGTCAGTCATTGTTAGGCCACTTGAAACTTTGGGCTCTATGTATAACTGGACTAATATCTTTGAAAGGATTAGAATATGATAATAACAATATATCAACATAACAATATATGCACAGAGCATTGTGGGATACTTCTAAGTGCAATACGATTATGTAGTTCGTGGGTAAATTATATTTTACAAACACATTTAAAGTGTTTTCCAGTGGATGCATATGTAATTTATTTTTCAAATACTATCATTTCATTCGTGAAAGATAGAAATAAATTTTAGTCATTAAATTTTAGTCGCCAATCTTAATTTGTATTGAAACACTTGGCGTAAACGCTCGTGTCGTCCTACAATTGCTCGTTCTCCCAAAACGTGAAGGTTTTACTTCGGTATTATAATAGCACTATAAGATAGATTCATATAATAAGTTCTTTGTATGTTTGCATGGTGATAAAATATAATAGGTTTTGTTTGTGGAAACACCACGTAAAAAATAATAAATAATAATAAATAATAAATATAATAATAATATAATAATAATATAATAATAATATAATAATATGCAGTAATAAATTTACGTGGTGTTTCCACAAACAAAACCTATTAGATTCATATAAGTTAGCTTGACACAACGATGCATACAGTATTTAATCTTTAAAACAGAATTATGGAAAAGTTAAGTTTATGAACAAATGGCACCATATACGTTTTTTATAAGATTAACGTTTTAAAAAAACGTAAAGATATAGTCTATTATTCTGAGACTGAAGAATACAACGAAAAACAAGTTTACTTTAATTGGACCATATTTTTGACTTAAAATAGGAATAACTAGAAATTTCAGCTTCATAAAATTGGCACCAATAAACCTAGGCTTTGTGAGATGAAACTTCTGGCGCTGTCATAAAAATAGTATTGGGATATTTTAAGCCTTGTGGACACGGAAAAACAACTTTTGGTATGCATCAGCATGGGTATTGTCACGATTGATGTATACATGTCAATGGCATTTGACATACCTTTGATTTGAAACAAATAATTTTAGCACCAAACTGATGTTAATGTCAAAAGACTTTTAAAGCAAAATATAAACGCTTTCAAACCACGCAAATTTTAGTAATTTTTCTACTCGTGAAATTATTTTGTTTGTATGAATAATTGATATCTAAATAACTTAATTTAAACTGTAAATTTATGTCAAAAGTGACATGATTAAGTAAACAGTGAAAAACAAATATGGTATATCTCAAATGCCGTCAGCAGTTCAATATATTGTTCGTTTATCAACAGGGAAATTTACTGTAGTTTCAAAACTAATTGCCTCGAGGAAATATTTTGTCTTTTGACCCTCATTTCCTGCAATGTGAGGAAAGGTTTGGAATTCTTTAATGCTATTTAACACAAAGTACTTGTGTATTAATAGATGGGCGAATATTATTAGCTGCATGGCCTTAAAGACCATTCATAGGGCTAGTTTCCACTATCAAAGTTTTGATGGATTTGTAAGAAATGTTTCCGTGAGGAAACTGACTCTGTGTTTAACCGTTTCCTCCAACATTTCTTACAAATCCTTCAAGACGTAGAATTTACGTAAAACTATGCAAAATTGATGAGTGTCCAAAAGAAGCTTGTGCGTCTAATCGCTTTCAAACCGTATTCTGAGCACACGGAACCATTATATTCAAAAAATTAAATCTATTAAACATTTACAAAATAAATGATTATTTGACCAGTTTATTTATGTTTCAATTTTACAACATGAACAATATGCCCGAAATTTTCAACAATTTTTTCAAAACTAATAATGAAATTCATAATCACAATACTAGAAGTTCCAAAAAACTACATAAAACCTACACCCGAACTAATTATATGAAACATA